AGAGGTGATGTGGACACTGAGCTCTGCAAAGGGGGTTGGGTGGGCAGGGCCATAGGAAATACCACTGAAGATAAAACTAGGGGAGATAAATAGAATGACTAATTGTTATTCTTAACTTTCGCCTAGAAGTAAATTATGCTCATTCCACATTAGAGGACACACCCCACAATGTCCACTTACCTCCCTGTCGCTATAACCAAGTGGACAAAAGCCAACTTCTCCCATTCCATTTTCCTACCAGGATATCTCCTAAAGAATTCAGTACTCTGACAATAGTCCACAGCTAAAAGCAGTACAGTTTGGACCATCATCATATTCTAGTTCAGCCTTGAAATTGATTAATTCCAGGAAAGTATGTGAACCATTTTCTCAGCTATGCTGTAGAAAGGAGCTCAGAATGCTACACCACCCAGCACTCCAACTAAAGGACAATTTTTAGATGTCTCTCCACCTGAGTCACCTCTTTATAAGTGGAATAAATGGGCTCCGCACATGAACAGTTTTCTACACAAGCCACCCAGAAGGACCAGGTTCCCCAGGGACTTTGTTCACAACACATGCAAGCAACACCCAAGTTGCTGCATCAACAGCATCAGAAATAAGAGACTGATGAATTTGGCTCCAGTGTGCCAACCAACAGGAGCCACTGTCCAGCAAAGAACCACAGTTCGCCTTATGGGACTCTTTTCACCATCCATCTCTCTCTCTCTCTCTCTCTCTCTCTCTCTCTCTCTCTCTCTCATACACACACACACACACACAGAAGTGGGCAGGTATGTGCACACTAATCCCAACAGATACGCAACTGACATAAATGTCTCATTTGAGGCACTTGGGGATGAAAAATACTTTTAAGATGTAGAGTGGTAAAACAGTATGATTACAAATTTAGACACAGTAAAAAATTCCCAAATGACTGTTTGTTCACCCAGAGAGAAGGACATTAGGCAGTAAGCAAGTCTGAAAACTCAAGGCAAGAGAACGCTGTTCTGAGCTAGTCACACCACTGACTTTCTACAAGTCCTCCTAATCACTTTTCACGGTTCATAAGATCCTTTCAGACAAGCCTCACCAAGCAACTGCCACCCCACACACCCTAGAAGTGGTGTACCTGGGTGGCTCAGGGAATTCCTACCGACCCACCAAGACCCCACTGAAATGTCACCTCTTCCAAGAAGCCTTGCATGAACCCCCTACAAAGGCAGCTGCTCCCACCTGCTCCCCCAGTACATGACTTTGCTCTGGAGTGCACACCAGCCTCAGCACTAACAAGCACCTCACACTATCACCTCGAGAATGAACTCAACACACTCTGCCATTCTCATTGGTTTTTATGTTTGCTGCCCTCCCCACTGGAGTTCTCAAGTGCCTGAACCAGACCCTACACATAGAAACGCACCCCTGAGACTGAATATGTGTTTTTTAAGTTCCATTCCACAGCGATCTGAACACGGCCAAGAGCAGGGAGATCATCCCCTGAAAGAGCAACCCTGCTGAGCTGTCCCAGGAGGCAGGTAGAACAGGGATTCTCTCCCCGACTGCACTGATGAAGAAACTAAGGCTGGTGTGGGCCAATGGTCTGTAAATGCAGGTCGTCTTCTTCATTTATGTTTCTGTCTCTCTATAAGACATTCATTTATGTTTCTTATAAGAAAATGTACAGTGAGACGTATAAAATAGTATACACTTAATTGTGCTTTGTAGTACCAGGAGTGAGGAACAATTATTAAGCAATTGTGTGTATGGAATAGATTTCCCCTTCACCAAAAAAAAAAAAAAAAAAAATCCTCTGCAGTCAGAAAATGAGATAACGATAACGTAGCACAAAAGCAGTGAGGGCTTGAGAAGCAGACGGCCCTGGGTGAGGTCTCAGCTGCAACCTCACAGCCTTGAACAAATGAGTCCACCTCTGAGATGGCCTCTGCAGCTGCGAAGTGGAAACTGAAGGAAGAACACTGTGGAATTATCAGTACTTAAAATTCTGATATTGTGTGCACACGTATATAGATAACACAAACATAGCGCAGAGTCCGGCATAATATTCCCTGAAATAAAAGCATCTCTGCCATGAGCAATGAGTCTTTGTAATTGGCCTTACAAGTCTGAATTTAAAAATGATAAGTCCCTGTTGGAGGTAACATAACAAGATGCCATCTTTGGGGGAGAGGTGTTGGCAATATGTCTTATTTAAAGTCACAATATTTACACACACACACTCCTCTGTGTTATTTTTCTCCCTTGTAGTTATCAACAACCGATAAACCAGACATGTTGTTTGTCTTCCTCCATTAAAAGATCAGATGCATGAAGGAATTGTCTATTTTATTCACCACTGTATCCCTGACACATCAAATAGTGCCTGATACATAGTAGGTAATCAATGCCTGTTAAATAAATACATTTAAAAGCTCATATACATTGTTCCACTCTCCTACTTATAAAAATTAGGCAAAAATATTTGCCCAAGTACTCGAAGATAAAGAACAAGACCACCCAATGCAGCAGAATTCATACTAGCAAAAAGCTGCAAACAAGACTCCTCAATAATACTAGTATTGGAATACTACCATTTTGAAAAGAATGAGGTTTTTTAAAAAATGAAGTTATCTTTACACAGTGAAGTAGAAAGACATCCATGTTAATAAAAAGCCAGCTTTAGAACAGTATGACAAAAAAATGACTAGTATTTTAGTTTTGTGTTAAACATTTAAATAGTAACACATTACTATTGCTTTAAGTAAAAGAAAAATTTTTAAATGTTTTTATGTGACAAAAAAATATCTGGAGAAAATACCCTACAAAGGACATTTACTATCTATAGTGCATATTTCTGTAAATAGTTCATTTTACAATGAACGTTAATATTTTTGTAAGTAAAAAATACATTTTAATGAAAATTGTCATTTCTCCATTTCACTTTTTTTTCCTAACTTTAATTTTTAAATGAATCTGACACATAACAAAAAGTTTAAGCCCAAGGTACTCAGTTGAGGCCCACAGACCTGGGGTGGTTTGCGAAAAGACACACAGCGCTAGTGCCAGAGCTCCAACTCAATTTCTCTGTCTCCCAATCCAGGGCTCTGCTCCCTTGTAAAGCACAAGCAAGCTGACTCTTGGCAGGGGCACCTGGCCTCTGGATCCATGAAAGGCCCTATGATTACATAAACTTCCATCAGAAAAAAAAAAAAAAAAAAGGAAGAAAAAAAGTTACTTAAGAGCTAAACTCTTTTTAACGTTAAATGTTCCATGGGTTTAACAGGTCAATGTTCTGGATTTGCCAAGCAGGTCTGATTTCAAATGGTCTCTCTACTAAGCATACACAGACTTACCTAATACAGATCCTGATTTTCAAGAAGTTAAGGGTGGATCAACCCAGAGTCAATGGCAGGTCCTAAAATTCAGGTTTGTCAGGCAACAGATATTCCTTGTGGCTGTTTACAATCTCCTACTGCCCAGTACCCAGTAATATTTGCCTGACTTACTCATGTTAGCTACAGTCAATGCTGCTATTTCCAGGTGCCAAAGTATATCCCTGGGGTTTGTTTCATTTCAAATCTATTATTTTTTCAAGTGCTAGATATGAATAATTTTGGAGAGTTAAGACCACTCCTAAGGTTCAACGCAACACAACTGGAAGCTAACATTCTATTCTCTGAAACACAAACATGTTTTTTGGACACTTCTGACAATGATTACCTGCTCAAGAAATAGTTTTCCCACATCAGATGGTATCAAAATCATGAGTAGCTCAAGAACCACTCTCTCAAAAGGAAAATAAGGGACACACAAAAAAGAAAGTGGATCCTTCTGGGTTCACTGGTTTACTAAATGGGCTTTTTGGACTATTTTCCTGACCAAGCCAATCCCACAACCACTCAAAGGGGTTTTGTGTAGTTAAAACTTGTAAGTGGTTCAATGAATCAATGTCTTCTCCACAAATAAGGCCTGAGGAATCACAGTACTGAACAGTGAGGACACTGGATCCCAGAGGGTTAGATAACTGCTCTGCTTACAAGAAGTTTACAGTTCTCAATGCCACTCTCCAGGACCTTGTTTTGATCCTCAGAACCTGAACCCTGTAGGGGTGGCAGGGCAGCTGTATTACTACTTCTTCTACTGATGAGAAAACAGAGGCTCAAAGAAGTGTTTTGCTACTGTGCCAAGAGGCAAAGCCTGGACCACCCTGTCCAGTCCAGTCTCCCTTTGTGCTGCCATCATTCTGTGGCTTGGCCCACCTCAGAGCCAAGGCTGCAGCTTTACCAGTCTAGGAAAGCAAGCAGCCACTTTCATTGAAATGGCCCCAAACTCCTCAGTATTGGTCATCACTTTACACAATGGTGACTAGCCTTGAGGAATGAAAAATACAAAGTCGAGGTCAAGCTTCCTGAAATGCCCCCACCCCTCCGCAACCCAACAGTCTTCGACCTCTTACCCAATTGCTCCCGGATCAGGAGGGCCGAGGCACCTGCCAGCGAAGGGCGCTGTCCCTAAGGATGCACGCCTGGCGATTCCCACGAGAGGCCGGGCTGGCGGACTCACGTGAGCCCTCTACTGAGCCCACCTGATGCTGCAGGGTCAGATTCCGGTCCCACTAGCGCTCATCGAGCCCACGCGAGTTCCCCCACAATCCGCTGCCTCCCTAGGCCCACTGTACATTCGAGGAAACTGAGGCTCAGAGAGTTAGTGGCTTAGCCCAAGGGCAGCTGAGCGGGGACTGGAGCCAGAGCCCTCGCACGCCAAGACCCGCCAAAGGGCCCTCCAGGCTCTCTCCGTCCGAGGCTGTGGAAACGTCGACCCTCAAGCCGCCGCGAGAGGTCAGCTAGAGAGGAAGAGCCACCCGGAGAAAGACCAGAGTGGGAGCCGCGCCTTCCGCACGAGCGTCGAGAAAGACGCACCGTGACCGGGCCCCAGAGCCGGCCGCGGCAGGCTGAGGAGTCCCGCAACCCCAAGCCCAGAGCCCCGACCTCGCCCACCCGGCAGCAGCCACCGTGCACACTCACCGTGGGCCGCCGAGCAGCTCTCCCTGGCACCTGGGCAGGACGCAGGCCCGCACCACTAAGGCGCTACCACAGCCCGCGCCGGCCGCGGGGGTGGGGGCGTGGCCGTGAGGCCGCCGCTCCGCCCACCCGGGCCGCGCGCGCGTTCCTATCGCAGGCCTTTCCCCTGTCTCCCCCCTGCAAATCCGTGCTCTTGGAACGGCCGCCCAGGCCACGCCCCCTGGCGCCTCGGTTGGGCGACCGGCAGAGAGGCCGAGGCGCGTCGTTCCGGGGCTGGCAGAGACCCCGCGGCGGCGGCGATGTCCCCCGGGCTAGGTCCCCACCCTCTAGTAGGTCACCAGAGGCTGTGGCTGTGCGCCATCCGGTCTGGCCGCCTGCTGCCGGCCGCCGCTTGCGTGGGATCGCGGCATTTTCTCCTCGACGGCCCTCAGTCTCCTCGTCTGAAAATGGCGAGGCTGCGGGCACAGATCGGCCGTGCCCCTCCGGCCTGGCCGTGGGGGCGACGGTGACCAGGCGGGGGCGAGGACTGAACCGAGGAGGCGGGGAGAGCGCAGAGGGGCCTCGGGGTGGGGTAAGAATCCCATCTCTGTCTCCTACTGCGGTTCCTGTGTAACAGGGTTATGAAGATTGAGTAGTATAACCTTGGTTCCTAAAAGATTTAGTGCAGCGTGATAGTACGTGCTTTTATTACCACTGTTATTATTACTGCTATTATTATTATTACAGACTCTGCTGCGAATTCCTTTTGGAACAGTGAGCAACTCACTTCTCTCAGAGCCCCTTCTCCATCTTGAAAAACGGGGCCAACCAACCAACAACCAACCAAACAACTGTGAAAATAGTTAAGTCCTGTGTAAAGACAGGATTTTTACTATGGTCCCGGTGCTAGGCTTCCTATGTCTAGGGACCAGTCTGATCCAGCCCCATTAAACCGGTCTGATGAATTCAATAGCCTTCAAGGTGGGGCACGTCATGTCCAACTAAGGGACTGAACAGGTAACTCCCACACTGGGCCCTGGAGAGAGATGAGAAATTCATCACCCAGTTATCTGATACTCTGTCCCTCCTTTTCAACACCCTCTTGGACATCTCCCCTGGATGTCCCCCTGAGGCTTCAAACTTTGTGACTCCTTGTCCCCTGCTTCTGTGAAGCCAGAACTCCTAAGAATACTGAGTCCCCTCTCTCTGCAAATAGTAGCATCACTGAGGAAACATTGGGAAACAGGCATCCTATTTATTTTGCTTTTTTCCCATTGAAATAGTAACTGAGTCCTATGGATTGGACTCTATCTCCAGGACTTCTTCTTACCTTTCCTGTTGCCCCTGCCCTAGTTGGGGGCCACCTGGGTTCACCTTTCACCTGGATGATCTCAGCAACTTCCTGACTGTGTATGCCACCTCCAGTTTCTCCTACACTCACTCGCCAGGGAAGCTTCTCTTCCTCAGTTACTGTCCTGCTCACTGCCCTATCTTTCTGCCCTCCTCCCACTCCACCCTCTACCTCCCAAAAAGAAACACTCACTAGCCAGCTGGGAAAAAAATAGTTGGATATACACCTCACACCTTACACTAATATCAGTTCTGGATAGATAAAATATTTAAATGACTTTTTAAAAAGAGAAGAGTAAAGGAAACCCAAAAGTCCATGGATGAATTTGTGTTCATAACCTCCAGGTCTTTCTGAGTTATGACACAAACCCTAGAAATCAGAAATGAAAAGATTGAGAAATCTGCCTATATAAAAAGCAAAACTTGACATGTTACTAATGCCTACAAGCAAGGTCAAAAGACAAATGGCAAACGAGGAGGAAATATTTGCAACTATTAATAGTCAAGACTAGTTTCCCTAATAAAGAGCACCTACTAATTAATAAGAAAATGCCTAATTAACATAAATGGGGGAAAAGATGTGAATCATCATTCCACAGAAAAGGAAATGCAAATGGCTATTAGGTATATGAAAAGCTCCTCAACCCCTGCGTAAAAGAAATGCAAATTAAAACTTGGCTGAGATACCATTTTTCACCTATGACTATGACAAACTCCAAAGTTGATGACACACAGTTGGTGGAGCTGTGTGGAAATAGGCCTGCCGTCTACTGTTGCTACATCGTACGTGGATATCATCCAGCTATAAAAAAGACAAATGAGGGAGCTCATTGCTGATTCAGAGCAATCTGAGATAAATTGATAAAAGTGCAAGGTGCAACAGTAGGTATAGAATGCTACCGTTCGTGTGTTCCCAAACAATTGTGGTGAGAAGTAGGGCAAGAACGTACACACTATGTATACACATTTGCCTATATGTACATGAAATATCTCTGGGAAAAAATGTGGTAACATCGGTTGTCTCTGAAGAATTGGGAGAAGAGGAGCTTCACTGTATACTCTGTATCTTTCAAATTTTGTACCTAATGAATGTTTTACTAAGTCAAATACATAAATACTTTTGTGATACCGAAACACCTTTGCCGCTGGCCAGAGAACCAACTCTTCTATTGGTTCCTAAAATCTAAAGAATAGTGACTATAAACTTCATTTTGCTTAAATTAGAATCATCTGTGCGGGGTTCCAGACAGCAGTTTCATGCCAGCTTCCCTTCTCTTTCTCCTTATCTTCTCTGCCCAGAAAGGATAACTTCTTACCCTGTTTAGCACTTTCTTTTTTTTTTTTTTTTTTTTTGAGACAGAGTCTCACTTTGCTGCCCAGGCTAGAGTGAGTGCCTTGGCGTCAGCCTAGCTCACAGCAACCTCCAACTCCTGGGCTCAAGCGATCCTTCTGCCTCAGCCTCCCGAGTAGCTGGGACTACAGGCATGTGCCACCATGCCTGGCTAATTATTTTTTTTGTATATATATTAGTTGGCCAATTAATTTATTTCTATATATAGTAGAGATGGGGTCTCACTCTTGCTCAGGTTGGTTTCGAACTCCTGAACTCAAATGATCCGCCCGCCTCGGCCTCCCAGAGAGCTAGGATTACAGGCATGAGCCACCGCGCCCGGCCTTGTTTAGCACTTTCTTCTGGTCATTACTTCCATGCAGGCAAATACATAAATGTTTTTATGGCTGGCTTTGTCCTGTGCCTGATATTTTAGATGTTACCTCTTGATTCCTGCTAGTGACGAGTTAGGTCATTTAAAGCACAGCTCACCTCCCCTGCTGTTAGGTGACAAATACCTAACATAATTATTTATATACCTAATTTAGTTTCTCTTTTAGCCACCTTTATAATTTAAGTAGTAGCCTTGGACCTTTATTTATTTATTTATTTATTGAGACAGAGTCTCACTCTGTCGCCCAGGCTACAGTGCAGTGGTGTCAGCCAATCACACAGCAACCTCAAACTCCTGGTCTCACACGATCCTCCTGCCTCAGCCTCCAGAGTAGCTGGGCACACATTTGTCTACAGGCACACACCACCATGCCCAGCTAATTTTTTCTATTTTTAGTTGCCCAGCTAATTTTTTTTTTATTTTTTTTTTTTTTTAGGAGAGACAGGAGTCTTGCTCTTGCTCAGGCTGGTCTTGAACTCCTGACCTCAAGCAATGCTCCCACCTTGGCCTTCCAGAGTGCTAGGATTATAGGCATGAGCCACCTCACTTGGCCGGACCTTTACTTGTTGATCCATGAACTACAGGCAGTATCTCTTAACATAAGATGAAGGTACCAGTACCTTCCTCTCCTCTTCACTCTGCACCCTACCCCTGTCTCCCAACTTCAGCCATCTGCAACTCCACATTTTCATTACTGAGTTTTATCATTTACATTCTGAATGTTTGCTTTGCTTTGCTTGTAGCTTGGGCCTAAAAGTCAAGTCAGCAAGTGGGTGTTGACATTGTTTTAACTCTGCACACACAGTACCTGGCAGAGCCAACCATCTCTATGATTTCAGGGATCTTCCTGTGTAGCTGTCTTGTTCTTGGATGCTCTTTTTTTCCCCCCATCTGGCACTGTTTTTAAAAAAATGAATCCTCAATTTATCCACGGATATGGTACTATCAACCTTTTTCCAGAGACCTCCTCCAGGGCTCTGGGATAACTCCCTGCCCCCATCCACATTGGCTGCTGTCAAGGACAGAGGTTGAATTCATGTCTGTGTTTCAGTTCTTGTAGCAGGTGCACAATCAAAGTTTGTGGAATGAATGGCGCTCCTGAGCTTGGAATACAAGGGCATTCAAAATCTGGTCCCAACCCAACTTTTCAGCTTGATCTGCTTAACTCTCCTCCACAAATTCTACACTCCAGCAAAGCTACACAAATGCTTGCTGGAAGGTACTGTTTACTTTTATTCCTCTGAGCCATCAGGAATGTTGTTCTTTTCCATGTTTACATGGCCATGTCCTACCAATGCTCCCACCTCTGGAAGGTCACTCTGATCCCTTGCCGGATGTGATGCCCCACAATACTGTCCAGCCCTCTAAAGTATATCCTACTTTAAATCATATTTCCATGGCATTGGCCTCCCCGTTGGTCTGGGGTCCCTCCAGAGTAGGTCTGTGTTCAAAACCTCTTCTCTCTCTCTGCACCCCAAGCACTGCCGAATGCAGGCAGCAGGGGACATTTGCTGAGTGAAGGCACAGAGGACTGAGAAAAGACAGGCTGGAGTTCCAGAGCTGAGGCTCGAGTGAGAGCCTAGCTTGGGGATGAGACACAGGCATTGCAGGACAAGGACTTTGCAACCTGTCCAGAGCTCTGCTCTTTGGTGTGTTTGGGGGTAGAGGGGAGGGGCTGACTACCATTTATAGAACACCAACTAGATGCCAAGTATGGTGCTAACCATTCTACACTGCAGATCTTCTCTCAAAAGTATACACTATTGTCCCCATTTCACAGGTGAGTAAACAAAGCCTCAGTGAGGTGAAGGGATTGTCCCAAGGTCCACAGCCAGTAAGTGTTTACAGTGTGCCAGGACCTCGTGCCTGTCAGTACACTTGTCAAACATATTCAAACCCTTTCCACTCTGCTCTGTCGATAAAAAGCAGACCTTCCCTGGTGGCAGGGTCTGGTTCCCCAGGGGACCCAGCACAGCCCCTGGGCAGTGTCTGTTTGGCTCTTGTTTTGGGGTGGCACCATTTCTTATGCTGAGCAGGCTCCCATG